TTTTTTTTCTGTAATAATTTCTTCTTTTTCTTTAGAAATTTTTTTAGAATTTTGATTTTTGGTAATATTTAAATATTTAACTTTTCCAAGTCTAATAATAAAACCAAGTTTATGTGCATAATCTTTGATTTTATTAATAAACTCATCATGACTCTTGAATATGTCATTAACTTGAGATTGATAAATTTGAATAAAAGTCTGAACTTCAGACATAATTTTTGTGATACAAAAAAAAATTTACTATATAAACAGTATGGAAAAACTTTAACCCGAAATTTTATTATAACATGAAGACACGAATAAAGGTAAAAAAAATTTATTATAATGTAAATATAAATATATGCAGATCATGTATTAATATAGAATTTCTAAATTAAGTTACAGGTCTAGATTAACCAGTCTGAACCCTGGGGATCTAGGATAAGCAACTTGAACCCCCCGATCTAGGTTAAGTTTTCTCGTAAATAAATCTTACGTGATGAATTTCCAATTACCTTTATAAACAACAACACTTTTTTTAAGATTTCTGATGTCATAGAGTCCACTAATCTTAGCGGAATTTTTCAGTTCTCGCAACTATGTGTTTTGGGCTCTGTGCTTTTGCCAGCGGCTGTAATCTGAATTGACAGACATATCAACATGGAAGTTTGAGATATCTGAAGAGCCTTTGACGAAACTTAGTATTTTGGACACTTCTGTTGTGAGGGATCGTTGTAATCAGGAACTAACCTAGCATTTTAGCTAGAAACTTCTTGGAGTTGTTTGTCTTTTTTAACCTTTCTTTTTTCAGAAACTAATCTCGGGTTCGTTTGTTTTAAAGGGTATAAATTTTTGTTGGTTAGGAGATTAGTGGTTAGTTAAAGAAAAAGTGTTATGATATTGACAATTTCTTTGCTTTTCTTGTTGACGAGTTGTTCATTAGAAATGGTTCTAGTGGGCATCTTGGAGGGAAAAATCAGTAATTGGTCAGCTTAAACGGATTTGAAACAGAGTCACAAAGGGTAGCTGCGATTTAATTTTAGATTTCTTATTTGTATTTTTGCTTTGTTTTACATAGATCAATACCTATAAAACTATAAATCTTTATAATAAACTCGTGGCAGTACCACATTGTTAAAAGTCAAAAAAAAAAAAAAAAAAACATTTGAGCTTTTATAATTCTAACTGAAATAAAATTGTTTTCTTGAATAAAATGCAAGTATCATATAAGATCAGAATATTGCTATAAGCATTCCAGCTATAACAACACTATCTAATCATTTCGAAATTTTATTTTATTTATTGAAAGAATATTTTTTATAATAATTAAAAATATAAACAAAATGAGCTATCTAACATTTCTTTCGTTGTTCTTCATTCTTGAAATTTATCGAGCTAGTATAAAAATAAAACATTATGTTGCTTAACATACTAAAATAAAATTTTGAAGGACATTCTGAAAAAAAAAAAAAAACATGCCTGTAAAGTTAATGTTCTACTACTGTTCACCTCCTGATCTCGATAAATTCCAACTAAGGCTTGTGCCTTTTCATATAATGTACTCTTGAGAGAGATGACAATAAACTGGAACGTATCAGAAGCGTGTTCTCGAATATAATTTGCAATTTTGCCAACATTCGTGTTATCAAGTGCAGCATCAACTTCATCAAGCACAAAAAAAGGTGACGGCTGATAACTGTGTATAGCAAATAACAACGCTAATGCGGCCATGGTTTTTTCACCACCAGACAATTGCTCCATATCTCTAAAACGTTTCATTGGAGGCATAGCATGATATTTAACCCCATCTAAATATGGTTCCTAAAATAATAATAAAATTATAATTCATGATTTCATAAAAAACTCTGTGTAATTACGCGTATTTACCTCATTATCTTCTAGACTGAGATATGCTGTACCACCCAAAGGAAAACTGCGACTTTTTGTTAAATCTTTATAAATTTGATCAATATTTTTTTCGATATGATCATAAGCCGCCCGGAACCGTTTGCATCTGTTAAGAAAGGAGATTCTGAGAAATTGTATTTATTCATATAGATATATGAATAAATAAAACAAACCTTGTTTGCTTAACAGAGTTAAATCTATCTTTTGCCGTTTTAGCATCTCTTCTTGCGCTATCAAATTCTTTTTCTGTATCATGTAAACGTTGTTCTATACCATTCAATCTACAAATCAATTAATTTAGTAATAATTATATGCTGTATATTAAATGACAAAATTGAATAATATCACCAACCGTTCAATAGCTTTCAAACTAGGAGATAATTCTTCCATCTGTGCAGATTTTTCATTCAGTTTCTTTTCAAACTCTTTTGCAACGTCAATACCGGCATTCTAAGTACCCATTTTAATTTAATCTTAATAATCAAAAATAAAAATATCAGGTGAATTAAAAAAATTTATTAACCTCCTTAAGATCATCAATCAATGAATTATAATCAACTTGAACATTCCAACCAGTGGAACTTGGTTCAGCTCTATTTGATGATAAAGTGTCATCCTCATCTATATCCATATCATCATCATCTTGAAACCTCTAAAGAACAAAGATGATTGTCATAATTACAATTTATAAAAAGACAACAAATTAAACGAATCGAACAAATCATACCGAATTCTTTATTGGTATATCATCAAGCGATCCTCTTTCAAGAGGTAAACAAATCTCTTCCAACTTACACTTACGGAAGATAGAAAATTGATCTGCTTCTAGCTTTTCTATATCTGATTCCTTTTAAATATTAGATAAAAAAATCAATTATTCCCAAGCAAAAATAAAAGTAGAGAAAATAGAATAATCGCAATAATTCTTAGTATATATGAAATTTATTTACCTTGTTTACAATTTCTTTCATCATTCTTTCAATCTCTTTTGTTACTTGAGAAAGCTTTCTCTTTGCCTCATTAACGACAACAGTTTTCTCATCGAAAGATTCCTTAATTTCATTTAATGCATCCTGCATTTCAGAAATTTGATCAGAAATAAGTTTTTTATCTCTCAACAATTGTTCTTTTTCTCGTTCAAGTTGAGTTAACCTTTTAGTATCATTTACTATCGCTGCTTCGAGTTTATTTAGCCGGTCTTCGGCCTCTTTCCTTTGCTCTGATTCAAACTTCAATCTTGATGGAAAAAAAGACATCAATTTCAATATAACGTTTCTTCTAAAATAAATTAAAAAACACGTACTGATTTTGAAGCCTCGATTTTAAAGTTGTGAACTTTAATTTTTTTTCAGCCATTTCTTGAGCAAGCTTAAGTTGTCGTTGTTCATATTCACGAATATTTGCTACTTGAATTTTCATACAAAAGTCTTTAAAAATAGTATCTTCAATCCTATGTATTGTAATTTCTGATTGTGCAATTTGGTTTTCAAAATTCGTTAAATCTGAATGAGCCTAATTTTCAAGAAAAATACAAGATTATATATATAATGTATCATATCATTGAATATCATATTTTATAAAACAAACCTTTTGCCATCTTGGTTGTATTCCATTAGTTTCATTAGCAATAAAATTCAATTCGTTATTGATTGCTTCAAGTTTTCGCGTAATTGCACTCTAATTAGATATTTAAATTTATTAAATATTCTATCTAAATATTAATTATTAAGATATAATAATAAAATATGAATTTACCAATTCTTCTTGAGCAAATTTTAACCTAGAATCTAATCCAGATATTTCACTTTTCTTTTGTTCTTCAAAGTTGCCTCTTCGTTTAGATTTGCTTAAATTATTCAATTTAGACAAAAGATCATCTCTTTGACGCCTTAATTCTAAGAAAAGAAAAAAAAGTTAATTATTGTAATTTAGAAAATACAAAAATTATCTATCTTACCATCGATATTTTCTGCGCGTCTCTTTTCTGCTACTCTCTTTGCACCGGTTATAATGTCTTCACTATGTCCACCAGTGACCAAACCACTCTTATGAATTATCGTACCATCAAGTGTAACAGCTTATAGAAAAACATTAATTAAAGAATTGAAATATAATTAAAAAAAAAAAATTATACGCATGTTATCTCTATTAGCTTACCTTTAACCTGTTGATTTTTTTCGTAACAAATATATTTAGCAATTTCCAAAGTATCACAAACTAGTGTGTTCCCACAAGCATATTGAAATGCTTTTTCTAGCTTATCATTATAAGTAATGACATCGATTGCTAATCTAGCCCCTTTCATGAAACTTCGGTATTTATCATTTATTGGTTTAACAACAATTGAGTCGAGAGGAATAAAGGTTGCGTGACCAAGGCGTTGTTCACGTATATACTGTCGTTATGGCGGACATAAAGGTAATGAATTTTACATCTTTTCAGAAAATATTTACGAAGCATCATAAATACCTGTATGCATTCAATAGCAGTTTTCTGTTGATCAACAATAATCGCATCCATATTTCTGCCAAGAATTATAGATACTGGTACAGCATATTTACGTTGACTAGGCGTGAATAAATCCAAAAGACGTCCATGAACACCCGAAAAGACTCTTTTCAAACTTTCTAAACACTCCTTCATCTTTTGTTCTCGTTCTGATTCTCTTTGGTCCACACTAGCAACAGTGAGTTTATTTAGTGTTTCTTGTAACTCTCGATTGTATTGAGTTTCTAGCTGACTGCATAATTAAAATGAATTAGCAAATAAATAATAAATCTTAATTAACAAAACTAACAATCAAACGTAAGAATTTATATTCACTTTATAGAATTCCTTTCGGAAACAGCAGCTTCAAGTTCTTTCTTGGCAGCTTCAAGATCCATATGTAATTGCGTTACATATGAACCAATCTTTATAATTACCAAATTTATAATAAAATTTACTTAAGAGTGGGTTTAAATTTTAATAATATAAATTGTTAAATTACCTTTTCTTTTTGGTCAGAAACTGCCAATTTTTCTTCCTCTAATTGTTTACGACGTCTATCTAAATCCTCCATCTTTTCCCTTAATCGGTGAGTTGATTCGCGACACGTTTTTTCTTGTCGTCTAACATTCTCTAATTGCTGTTTTTCGTTTACACTCTTCTTATTGGCCTCTTCCCTCCTATTAATTTTCAATAAAAGATTGTAGGTTGAGAAATTATAGAAGAATAAAATTCAATTATGATACCAAATACCCATCGTACAAAAACTATACTTTCTACTATATTCAGCCATGTCTTCAGTACTAAGTCTTTTATTACTGCCACCTCCAGCCTGTAAAGAAGCTGCGTATAAAAAAATTGATGAAATTGGTATAATTTAATAATTAGTATATTCATTTTGTCTGTTTAACTGAACTCTAACCTTCATATTGCTCTGCAGCTCTAGTAACTATATCTAGTTCTGATTGCAATTCTACAACATGATTCGTCTAAATAATATTATTCGTTTATTTGTGAGAAAATATTCAGAAAACAAAGAATTATATAAAATTCCTTACTTGACGGTCAAAATCTTTTCGAACTCTCTCCGCATCTTGTTCATACTGAGTCAACTTTCTTCTGGCATGAAATATTTTTTCCTCCACGGTAAGTAAAGCTGGACGCTATAACATAATTAATATATTTATATATTTATTACTTTTTATTGCTCAAAATTTTTTAAGTACACAAAAATATAAAAATAAACACCTTTTCCTCCAATTCTTTTTCTTTAGATTTAATGGCATTTTCTATTTGATAATATTTTTTATGCACTGCTGATTGTTCCATCCTAGCCTTCTTTAATTCTGAATCAAATTGTCTCTATATACATAAAATTATTTAATAAGTAAAGATTTAAGTCGAATATTTGATCAATATAAGATAATACAACATACTTGCTCCCTTTGCCTCCTTCTTATAACATCATTATGTCCGTTAATCTCTTCTTTGTATTCTTGTATATTTTGTTGTATATGAAATAATTTCCAAAGAAGATAGTCGACTAGAATTTGTGTCTGGAATATATAGAAATTAAATAATGGAATAAATAATAACATTGACAGATATAATAAAAACATATATACTTTTTCGGCTAGCAATTTCTCAAATTGCTGCGCTTGAGCTTTCTGCCTTTGGTATTCCTGTATTTCAGAGTTAATGCCACGTTTTTTATTGAAATTAAATGTAGAATTTTCCGTTGCTCGTTCTTGCTGAACTTTTAATTGCTCATATTCGGATTTCAATTCCAATGACCTTATAAATAAATAAAATAAAATAAAATAAAATAAATAAATTAAAAAAAAACGCGAAAAAAAGGTTTATTTAAACGAATCATCTGAAATAATTAATAATATATTTAATGATAATGTCTTACCCACTGATTTGTTCGATCAGTCTGGTTAGGTCTTTAGGAGATTGAGATGCAATAGCCTCGACATCACCCTAGTTAAAATGTTGATTTTAACTTATAAGATAGAAATGAAATTAATAAAAATATTGATTGCAAACCTGGAAGACTAAGAAATTTCGCGCCTTTACTAAAATATTTTGTTGTTCCAAAGTAGAATTGTATTTTGCATAAGTAACAACTTTATTATTTATTTTATATTCACTCGTTCCAGATATTGTTATACTTAATAAATAAATATACTTGTTAATTTTAAATATAAATATATAAATAGAATTCTAAGATAATAATTTGTAAATTTAAGACCACCTCCTTGTAAATTTTATTTCATTTCCATTATCATCCTTATATACAGCCATAACCCATGCTCGCTTCGGGTTATTAGTACGTCCCTCAATAGCCGTTATATCAGGGAATTCCTCATCATCATCTTGCATAGCTCGGCCTCGATAAATTAAATCTTTAAGTTGAGTTGATCGTAATTGAGCAGACTTTATTCCTAAGACAAAAGATATGGCATCCATAAGATTTGACTTTCCTAATATAACAAAATATAAAAATAAAAACTATTGTTATTGAAATCAAAATAATTGACAGTTTATTTAACATACACTTAAAAATAAGGAAATTAAAATTATCGGAAAATTTCATAAAGTATGCTCGCGTCTTCCTCAAATTACGAACTATATAGCCATTACTAATAAATCTAAACAAGTAAATTCTAACTATACCTGCTCCGTTAGGACCAATTACCGATGTAAAGTTGTAAAAAGGACCTATAGTCTGTTGTCCCTTGTACGATTTGAAGTTTTCGAGTTCAAGTCGATCAAGATGGCCCATTTTAGAGGAGTTATAAATAAGAAATATGATGCGAAAGTTTTTGAGAAATTATATCTGAATTTAAACGCGAACTCGTCAACAAAATTAGTAGAGTATAATCACGTGAAAGGAATGATAATCGTGATTGGTCCGTGAAGATAACGATCGTGATTGGTAGTATGATAAATTTTACGAATCTAAGTTGAGGGAGCCGTGCCAATTAATTCTACTTGTTGGAGTTTATAACCTTAGAATATTCTCTAAGTCTTAAGTCTTACAATACCCGTATTGATTGTTTATCATATGTAAAATTATAGATCTATACAGAAAATTAAATGATTAATAAACTAAATAATAGGACTGTTGGAGCGTCTGAAGCGTTTTAAATTATTTCTTAAATTTTAGCCAATCACAAATCGATATTATGTTTATCACATGATTTGATAGATCACGTAAATAAACGGGGCCAACTCAAGGTTACACAGTATTATGGACTGAAGCTATATATAATTTTATAAGTAATTATATTAAAATGTAATATTGCCCTATATTTAAAGTGATAGATTGGCCGATAATCAATATGATTTATGAAAAAAATTATCATGTGAAAACAATAAAATGTGAAACTATTCAAATCTATAATCTTTGTTAAAGTTTCGCTTCTATATTTTTTAAAAAAGAGGATCAGCTATTAAAAATATTTCAAAATTATATAAGTATATTAAATACTTGAAAATAATATATAATAAAATAAGAATACACTATTTTTAAACATTTTAAGTAAAAATATTTATAACTTTTTATTGAGATCTTAAAAAAATATATATATATATATAATTTCTAACTCTCTATTATCAAGTAATAAAAACATATAAAACTAAGAAGAATCTAATCAGTGATTTAATTTGGATGAAAACTTCACTAATGTAAAGCTAATATAAATGACTTTAACTTTTAGAATTAGTTACTTTTTTACGTGTTTGTGTCAAGAAAATAAAAAAAAGTGAATTTTTAATATAAAATTTTATTTGTATAACTAATTTATGAAGTATTTAGTTTTTTCAGTACTGATAAACCTGTATAATATTTGAGTTAACTCTCCTATTTATTTATCTATCCTCTAGGTATAACTACTCTAAGAACACTATCAAAAATCCTTAGACACGTGATTAGATACACATAATGTAGCTTATTTTAATAATAAAATAAATCAATATATTAATTATGATATACTTTAATACTATAAACTAATTCTAATTTTATGTATTTAATCATAAATATTATATAACTATTGGCTGTATGGCCTACGACTAGCTTTTATAACAAATCTTTCCTTCTAAACCCTAATACTATACTATTAATTTACAAATACTATGTAACTAAATATATAGTACTTTCTTAACCCTAACTTACATTTAATACAATTATCTTTAATAAAACTTGAAAATTATAAATTTTCTTAATATATTTATTTTATAAAAATTTATAATTTATTATAAATAACAAGTATTATAAATTTATATATCACAAAAAAATAAAGATTAATAGAAATATAAAGAATAATATGAATTTATAAAAAAAATAAAATAAAATAAATAAAATAAAATATTAAGAGTGATATATTTTGTTACTTCATATATATTACTTAATCATTTGTAAAATTACTATAAATAATTATTAGTAACTTTGAAATGAAAGTGTTATTAAAACATTTTTTTATAATAGTAATAAAAGAAAAATTAAAAAATATTAGATAGTTACAGTTCAAAATGATTGATTCTAAAGAGTAAAAAAATGATAAAAATAATAAAAAAGTATACCTTTCTTACTTTTAATCTGAAAATAGAATAGATTTAAAAAAAATTAAAAAAGTAATTTTAAATAAAAAATAAAAAAAGAAATTGCATAATTAAATGAAAAAGTAATTAAAAAACTTCATCTATCACTGAAAAAATCAAATCATTTTCTAATATTTCTGATACTCTTAAGCTATATATCCTATTTCAATAAAAAATAATATAGAAAAAAATTTAAAAATATATTGAAATATTTTAATATTTTTAAAAATTTTTGTTGATATAAAATATAAACAAAAAAGCAATATTGAAATAAAAATAAAAAAAGGAAGCGTGAAAATTTTTAAATTTATTTTTGTCTAATAAAAGTATATCAACATTTTGTGCTACTCATAAATTAAATCATATATACAAAAATCATGTATCTGAGGATTTTTGATGGTATATTTAGAAAAGATAATTACATATATCTTATTCAATATTATTATAAAATTTTTCATCTTCTAAAGGACTTAGAATTATTTAAGGAATGAAAATATTTTTTTTATGCTCATTATATATTATTGTAAAGCTTTGAATAATTCAAATTAATCTGAAGATTTTTCAGATCAGATCAGTTCAGATCAGTTTCAGATTACATAAAATTCAATCTGAAAATTTTCAGTTTAGTTCAGATTTTTTTCAGATTATAATTCTAATTTGAACTGAAAAAATTTAAACTGAACTGAAAATTTTAGATTAATCTGAAAGTTCAGTTTGATTATATGCGAAATTTTTGAAAAATCGTAAAATTTGCGAATTCTCTAAAAAGTTCGTAAAGTATAACGAAACTTTTAGAGAATTGTAATTTTTTTGTGATTTCTCTTTGAATTTTTACAAAAATATTATAAAATTCTTGGAGAATCGCAAAAAATTGCAATTTCTCTTCAAATTTTGCAAAAATATCACAAAACTCTTAGAGAATCACAAAAATTTGCAAATTTTCTAAGAGGATCGTAAAATTTAGCAAAACTTTTAGAGAATCACAAAAAATTATAAATTTTCTTCAAATTTCGCAAAAAAATATAAAAATCTTAAAGAATCGTAAATTTTTGCAATCTTTTCAAATTTTGCAAATAATATTGCAAATCTATTGAAGAGTAGCAAAAAATTGTGATTTCTCTTCAAATTTCGCAATTTTTTGTAAATCTTAAAGAGAAATTTGTGATTGTTTGCCATTCTCTTAGAGTTTTGCATATAAATTGCAGATTTTTTTTAAGATTTGCATATAATCAAATTGTAATTTTAAATTAATCTGAAAATTTTAATTCAGTTCAGATTTTTACTGGTCTGCAGTTCAGTTCAGATTTAGATTAGCATTTTTAGGATTAATAATCTAAACTGAACTGAATCATTCAGAGCTTTATGTTACCAATTACGTGAAGGTAAAATTTTTACTTATAAATTTATAGTAATACTAGAATAAATAATCACATATAAATAGATACTACATATATGATTTTAGCTCTAATCAAAGTATTCTATACTTATACTTTGAACAATTAAACAAAATAGATTTTTTGTATAAATTTCAATAATAACTAAAATAAAATTTTAAAAATATAGCTATTTTATATCTATTGTAATAAGATTATAATCATTTATTATATTTAAAAATATCATTTAAATAAAAATTTTATTAATAAATACAGTTATAATATCTATTTTTTCAGATTTGAAATTTAGTAAGTCAATTTTTTTTAATAAAAAACCTGATATTAATTTTATATACAAAATCTATAAAAGTAGGGCAATTTTGGGGGTTCTGGGGTCAAAATCCAAAAAAGATATCCAGAAAGATCCCAATCATAGGCCAGAAGCCCTTCT